CATGTCTTAACTATGTAACAAAACTGCCGCATCAAGGAGCTGAGAACGCATGCTGATGTGGAGCTGCTCTGAAATGCTAGACACAGTGCTAGACAAACTGTCGAGGTCGAACCAAAACCTTCATGAAAAACAGTACATAGACACAGTTACACGGCAGAGGGAATCTGTTTTCTCTGAAGCTGCACTGACTGATCATCTAACACAACACTCAGTCACTATCAGAGGCAAGTTCCAGTGAAACAATAGCTTGTAAAATGTCCACTGGCACAGATTAATTGTGTACATATCTTAACTTGACTACTAATACTACGAATACTGTCTGACAAATCCAGAAACCATAGAGAAAAAAAAAAGTTATGCGCCCAACGTGGGGCTCGAACCCACGACCCTGAGATTAAGAGTCTCATGCTCTACCGACTGAGCTAGCCGGGCTGTGGTATTCCTGCCAGAAGTCAGAAATAAAAAACGTGCATTAGTCCTTATAGTGAATCTTAGATTAGTGACATAACTCAACCTCAAGATTTTGATCTAAGTGCCTGAATCCTGAAACATGAAAATAAGTATCAACTTAGGCAAGGCTGGTAAGGGGACAATAGCATGCCTTAACACATAGTCTCATGTAGTCTATGGTACAAACACAATACATACAGAAGCTGGAATACCCCCCCGCCAGACAGACAATCGTACAGCTTGGTAACTTCAACTGTCGCTGCAGGACCCCCAACAGGGAAAGACAAAAGGCTCTCTCATACTCACACAAACCGCAGGAACCCCCCCTGACCTTTTTCATCAGCTGATGTATACAAGGTCCTGAGGAGAATTAATCCCCACAAGCCCCAGATAACATCCCTGGGCAGGCCCTCAAAGACGTGCCACAGAACTGATTGCTTATTTCACCTCCATATTTAACCTGTCCCTTGCAAAGGCCACAGTCCCAACATTCTTTAGAACCACCATATCCCAGTCCTCAAAAGGAGCCCAGTTATTTGTCTGAATTCCTACAGGTCAGTTACACTAACTTCAATCACAACAAAGTGCTTTTAGATTGCAGTTCTGGCCCACATCCAGAGTAATACCAGGGTTCCCCACACATTCATTTGTGGCGGGCTGCCACACTAAAAACATCTGCCGCCACATGCCGCAGCGAAACTTAACCTTGAGTGCGCATCACTACAGTTTGCTTTCACACACAAACAGCTGCTCCTTTCATCCACCAATCTGATTGGATCAACTGATCAATTGTCCACCACACGACTCAAAACTCCAAAAACTGCTCATGAGGTTAAAACAAAGAGTTCTGCCTGTGCTGTATTCACAGAACCACAAAAACGCCAAATTTAGAGGGGGACATAGACTGATACAAGGACTCACAGGCAAGAAAAAACACAAAACAAAAAACTGAAAGTTTGCACCCCCACCCCGCTCCATATTGTCACATAGATTTAAATTATGTGGGAAGCACTGAATACACCTGAGTAGCTGGACCCCCTGCAGTATGACACTTTCTCTGCAGCTCTGCACATAGCCCTCTCCTGCCGGGAAAACAAAGATGCTTGCAAAGAATGCTCTTCACCAATTACCGCACAACCTTTAATACAGTCCTCCCCCACAAACTGAAATTTAATGACAGCATGGCTTTTTGTTTATTGCTATTTTACATAGAACCAAACAACACAGGCATAATTCCCAAAGCAGATGTGGCCTGTAGTGTGACATCTAACAGACACATCAGACAGTGCTTTCTAAACAATAACAATGGCATAACAACCACTTACTGAAGTTCTAGTGAAACAATAGTTTGTAAAACATCCACTGGAACAGATTAATTGACCAAACCTATGTATGGGTTTACCTCTAATATACATATTTTATACATTAACATTCACAGTGGGAGGCAAAGTCTGACAAATACCCAAACCAAACCATAGAGAAAATAAAAAAAAACAAAAAAGGCTGTGCGCCCAACGTGGGGCTCGAACCCACGACCCTGAGATTAAGAGTCTCATGCTCTACCGACTGAGCTAGCCGGGCTACTGCTAGCAATTTCGGGGGTGGGGTTTAAAACCGTGCACTCTGCTCTACAGTCCTTTAATCTTTGATTTTTCATTCTACTGGATAAATCAAAGCCGTTCCATTAACAAACCACTTTATTCTTACCTTACGGTCACACAATGTAACCAAGACATCTGCTTTAGATTTGGTGTGTGAGTATTGCTCAATAAGATAATAAGGCAAAAGTTTTCTTGTGTGAGTTGTGCTCTCTGTAGAACTAGCCAAAGATACAACATTGCTGTCGTCTGTCCCAAATACAGTCCCAATGTATGACTAACAAAATGAATAAAGTGCCACATGAAAGAATGCCAAGAAAATGTTTTTGCCAGGGCAAATAATAGGCTATCTATAAATTAAATGCCACAATTCCCTATTTCAAAGACACAGAAAACCAGTAATGCTGTCTGAGCCTCCACTAAAGCTCAAGATAATATGCACCATTGACACTGCCGACCTAAACTCTACCTCAATATACTCTGCATTTCCATGTCGTTTCTTGAAACGGCAGACTTGAAACACATATCGCATCTGGGTAACAACTGCTGCCATTGACATCAAATTCATGCTAATTAACGTAATTTAATTAAGTTTAAGCTAGCGCCTATATCTGCGCGAGCGTTTGCGTTAGCATGTTTTACTCGACAGCTACGTCTCGAGCACTACGTTAATTAATCCTACATTAACACCATACTATTAGCCACTAAAAACATATTCTTTATGGCTACAGCGTAACTGTTACAAAGCGTTGAAAGTAAATCTCTTACCGTGAAGTCCGGCTTGACGTTAACGTTAGCTGGCTAACGTTAGCTAAAATCTCGAACTTCGCCTTGACGTGCGTTGGTGCTCGCTGCTGCTCCAGTTAGGTATTCAAGAAATAAAATAAAGTGTTGTAAAATAACTGTCACGAGCCGAAAACATGCCCGACAGTTAAATATGAACTCTACAATAAAGCCAAACAATATTTAAACAAAGTTAAAGGTAAGTGTAAAAGGTGCAGCACTTCTCCTTCCGAGACGCTCTAACGGCGTTGACGTTATTTTCCTATTACATCCGGGAACTTCAGGACGTGAAGTGGGGGCGGAGTCACGAATTTTATCCAAATTATAAACATTGACACTACAAAGTTCTCCATCCTTTATTAACAAGCATATCGTCAAACAATTTATTCATGTCTTGCTTTTGTAATTATTTTATTTTTGTAATAAAGGTATAAACACAACTGTATTACAAGAAAATTTATGACGACGATAAAGTTATCCAGTAATTGATGATGTACATGTAACAACAAAATAGAATGTATGTGTATTGTACGATACCATATCAATGTCAATATCACATTAAATGTACGCTACAGTATAAGATAAGATAAGATAAGATAAGATAAGATACACCTTTATTGATCCCACAATTGAGAAATTCCAGTGTTAGAGCAGTCAAGGGCAAAGAGTCAAATTAAAGATTTCAAAATTTTATTTTATTTTTTTAAAACTAGGCATGCAGATAAAAAGTACAAAGAATACAAGAAACAGCAATAAATAATAATAATAATAATAATAATGATGAGCAGTGGATAAAAAGTGAGCAATAGATTAAAGTGAACATATTTAGTACAAGTGAATATTGAATGTGCAAATAAACAACAACATGGGGGACAGCAATGCTTATTGTGGTGTTTATAAAGTGTCCATAGTGTCCCTAAAGTGTCCATGGTGCAGTTTAGTGTGAGCAGTTAATACACACTCATGCACAAAAAATGTTCAGTGATGGGAGAAGTGTTCAGATCCTTTACTTAAATTAAAGTAGCATAGTGTATTAACATAAAAATAATTAAGTGAAGGTCCTCCATTAAACACTTTATTTCAGTTAAAGCTAACCCATCAGGTAGAATATCTGGTATGTAGGTAGTTTTTTTTTTATATCAATATCATGTTCACATGTCAGTGTAGTGCAATATCATTTTCTCAGTCATGTGCAAACTACTTCCCATTGTTATATCATATTCAATATAACATTGGAATATAACATTGATTATCAGTAGCAGTCTGTTTTTCACCACCGTTTTAGTTCATTTTTAGTAACTCTTATACTTATCATACTCCTATGGTTACTCTATGAGGCACTGGGTTTTGCTTCTACTCCATGGAAGCACTTCTATCTTGTATATTTATATATTTTGCCAGATATTTAATATTCTATTGTTTCTAAAACTGGGCCCAGTGAATGACCCTGACATGTGAAACCCACTGGTTGGTACTGGTTGTGAATTGTTAAAAATGTAGTTACTGTAGTATTACTGTAATTTGAAACATTCTCTGGCACAAGACTTCCCTTCAGATAAATAAAGTCCCATTGAATCGAATCAAATTGAATTGAACTGAAATGTAGTAATGTAGCAAAGTGGCAAAGTGTGTACACATACAAAGAATTTGACTCAGGTTTTTTATATACATTATACTGTATGCATGTATACATGTCTATATACAGTGACAGCACATGATGATAAGTAGGCTACATGATAAAAATGATGGGCATTCTGAAATTACAAAAACATAATCTCTAATGAAAGTCAAGTACCAGAAAGTGGAAACACTTGAGTCAAGTACCTTCGAATTCCACCAGTTGATATTTTATCTTAAAAGGGAAAGACAGTTTGGACTTATAGCGTGGACTTGGATGCAGGGTTTAAATCAAAGTAGTGGTTCCTAACTTGTAGACATCTAAACTGTAGTCGAGGAGATGCAGAAATTAACAGAACGTTTAAAAAAAATCTATCTATCTATCTATCTATCTATCTATTTATCTACCTATCTATCTATGGTTCAGTGCGCACAAAGCACCACAAGATGGCGCCCTTCCACTACAATAGAGCAGCGGTGGCTGGAGCTGAAGAGGGAGGCCAGCCGCTGCATTACACCCGGCTTTGATCCTCATTCCTCAGCCAAACAAACCAGAGAGGGTCGGCTCAGGTGTCCCAAGTGACATTTTGTTACATAAAATAATCTGTGGAAAAACCGGGTTGTAAACAGCGCACGAGGAGCCGCCACCAAACCAAACCACGTGATCAAATGCGGAAATTGTCCGATCGGGAAAGTGTAGCGTAGAAAAGAGGGGAGTGGAGGCTCTGGTGTACGTCTGTGTTTTGAGCTGCTGCTGCTGGTGACACTAGCTGGACTCTCCTCAACCAAACAGCACGTCCACACTCACCCCATCGGTTATCTGCTCACTTAGAGGCACCAGTGTCACCTGTCGGGAATCAAAGTAAGGTAAGATGGAAGACAAAGCAAAAGAAATGAGACAGTTTGTGATACGCAGCAACTTTTGGGGGGAAATTACTAGTTGACAGAGTCACCTGTCGGGACAGCTAACAAGCTAACATGTAGAGATGTGGTTAAGTTGCTGTGACACCAGTTAATTATGTTGTTGTCAGACTAGATGTCTGGCTGCTGCACTAACTTACAGTGTGTGTTTATGCGTGTGACCAATCACTGTAGCTACTCCTGCTGTGTGTACTGTGCACGGTAGGTATTTTTAATGTTGTCAAAGTCACTTTCAGTGTATATTTATATCTCAGTCACAGGGTTGTTGTGTTGTGTTGTGCTGCGTTGTTGAGTCACAAGTGAGTTATTGTTAATTTAAACTTTATTTTTTATTACATGCGAAAAAATAAGAATGAAATGCCTTTTGGTGATTCATTTTAATGCAACTGAAATTAATTAGTAGGGGAGACTGGGGGCCATTGTAACATTTTTTGGCATTGATGTATTGCTGAAAACCTTGGATACGACTTTTAAGTAGGTAACTTGTCATCACTTGTTTTCTGCAAGCAATGTTAAGCCCCGTTTCCACCAAGCAGTTCAGTTCAGTTCAGTTTGGTACGCATTTTTTCCATTTCCATTGTGAAAAGTTGTGGATGGTACCAGTGGAACCATTCCGTACCGTCCCCATTTTTGGTCCCCCCTCTGTTGGGGTACCTAACACACAGATCTATCAACACACCTTAAGTACTCCATGTGACAACTTTATATAGCAGTAGCCGTCTTGGCCTGCGTTAAAGGACAGCTTCGGTATTTTTCAACCTGGGCCCTATTTCCCCATGTGTATGTGTGCATAAGATTCATGGGTACCACTAGTTCTAAAATTGGATCAGTATTGAGACGCGAAAAGAGCTAAAAAGGTAATGGGGGCAAATGCATCCCGTATAAAAGTGCTTTTTTTCGCCACTGACTGGTTCAGATCGCCAGTGCTATCTCTGTAAATAGCATATGGTAGCGGTCCTGGGGCAGTGGTGAGTGTGAATGAGTGGAGTCAGCTGTCAGTCAGTGTTGGAGCAGAAAGGCGGAAGTTGTCCCCGCTCGTGATTGTAAATGAGTATGTGTGTGTGACGTGTGTGTTTTTTCGTCACTGACCGGTTCAGATCACCAGTGCTATCTCTGTAAATAGCATACTAACTTAGCCTTTCCCTTACCTCTGGGCTGTGTGATGTCACGAGCTTTGCTCCACTGTGTCTGTAGCTCTCTCTACTTGTGGGACAGCCGTTTTTTTGAGGAAGAGGTGTTTCAGGATTGGATGTCTTCTCCTCTTCGGCTGGCAGTAGTCATCTTGGGAGAAGTGAGCACTGCAGACCCGATGGTCTGCAAGGCACAGTGTCTGGAGAGGAGTGTTAGCATCCATTTGTAGCACAACTAGCCACAACTTCAGCATCTCGCCATCCGACAAAGGCAGCCTATGAAAGCTGTACGGGGTGTTGCGCGACATACTGTTCTTGCGTTCGGGAAAAAGGCCCGTTTATTTGAGCACTCCAAAAACTCCGGTAACACTCAAGGGCGTAGCACGTAAAAGACTCCGTCCCAAACTCTGACTCTTCTAGCATAACACACACTTCACACACACATACTCATTTACATTACCAAGCGGGGACAACTTCCACCTTTCTGCTCCAACACTGACTGACAGCTGACTCCACTCATTCACACTCACCACTGCCCCAGGGCCGCTACCATATGCTATTTACAGAGATAGCACTGGTGATCTGAACCGATCAGTGGCGAAAAGAAGCACTTTTAAACGGGAAACATTTGCCCCAATTACCGTTTAAGCTCGTTTCACGGATCAATACTGAACCAATTTTAGAACGAGTGGTACCCATGAATCATACGCACACATACACATGGGGAAATAGAGCCCAGGCTGAAAAATACCGAAGTTGTCCTTTAAGTGGAAAGACGCCACCTCGGCTCTAAACTCCGTTCTTAGAGCAGCGATGTCAGCTTTGGCGGAGGGCCTCCAGGTCACGTTTGATTTCAGCATGAAACTAGCCATCTCTTGTTTGATTATGTCTCCCAGTAGGTGAAAGGAGGTGACCATCTCTACCTTAATTAGCTGAAGAAGAGCGCTCTCCTCAAGTTGCTCTGTGGTTGATGGAGGGTCCGGCTCAGGGTGATAGAGGGTAGTGCTAGCATTAGCCATTAGGGTCTGTTTGAGTGCAGGGTTGGTTAAATTTTGCACCAAGACTTAAGCCAACTTCTTCTGTGTCTTACTCGCCATGACACCCCCAAACCAGGAGATAAGAATACATTAAGCTGTATATTGTGTATACAAAGTCTGGAGCAACATGTCCACAGGTGGCGGTTGGACAGGACTTTGTGTACGACTGTTTTGATGATACACAAATGTGACAGAAGTGCTAATTAACAGTATATCACACTTATATAGTGGTAGCCGTCTTGGTCTGCATTAAGTGGAAAGACGCCACCTTAACTCTAAACTCTGTTCTTAGAGCAGCGATGTCAGCCTTGGTGTCCTGGCGGAGGGCCTCCAGGTCACGTTTGATTTCAGCATGGAAACTAGCCATCTCTTGTTTGATTATGTCTCCCAGTAGGTGAAAGAAGGTGACCATCTCTACCTTAATTAGCTGAAGAAGAGCGCTCTCCTCAAGTTGCTCTGTGGTTGATGGAGGGTCTGGGTCAGGGTGATAGAGGGTAGTGCTAGCATTAGCCATTACCGTCTGTTTGAGTTAAATTTTGCACCATGACTTTAGCCGACTTCTTCTGTGTCTTACTCGCCATGACACCTCCACATGGGTTTTACAAAGTGTAAGCTACAAAGCTATGCCATCAGAATATTAAAATGTCGTGCTGTACTGAAATGAATATGCTAAAATGTACAGAGCACGTTGAACTTGCGCCTACTCCATGTCAGGTGTTAACCGGAAGTCTAAATTGCAAACCAAATCTACCTAGGGGTACAAATAAGGTAACCTTCCCTCGCCATGGAGAACATGCCAAGTTTCACTGTTCTGTCTTGTTTCTGATTGGTGCAGTTCGAGATGTTACAAATGCACCCTCAATAGAATTCATTTTAATTTTAGCCAATACAGCAAATAAGATAATACAACTTGTGATTCATAGACATTAAAGATTTTGAAAGCATGAGAAATTGGCTTTTGGTGGTACTTGAACCAGGAACCCCAGACTGAGAGGCAAAAAATTTACCCGTTGGACTATGCCACAAAATATATTGTAAATAGAGTATACATAGACATTTAAACTGAACACAGAACACTTTAGTTAAATTGTTAGGAAATACAAATGAATCTATTTTGATGTTGCTCAGCCATTCACCTTTTTGATGGTGTCGAGGTCAGCTGTAACACAGTGTTACAATCACAATGGCACACTCAGTTGCCACATCATTGATATAACTGAAGAGGACACGATATTCCTCTCAATAACACAATACAGTCCACCAGCATCACAAACTGCAGTCTCCAAATGTCCATAAAATCGAATCAACATCCCTCTAAATCAATTTCATCCAAAACCTACCACTTTAACCATCATGGTGTTAAAATTTACTGAGGGGGCTGCCATTTTAGGCTGCTTTAGTTTTACCTCCATGTACCCACATGTCATAAATAGACAACTGTGAGTTATATGAACAGACCAGCAGTTTAAACAGAGCCAATAATGCTGGTGTTAATCCAGTCCTTTATTAGTATCTTCATACATTCATACTATGCTCTCGAGCAGGAATAAATAGACATGAATGTATTAACAGTGCATGCAGCAATGGAAGCAGAAGGTCAAACTTTGTGAAACGACATACAGCTAATTGTATAGATCCTATACTCGGTTGTGTACATAGTATAGAGCAAGAATAAATAATGATAGCCCCAAGCAACAATTCAGGGTTCAAACCAGCATGGATCATTAGAGGCTGAAAGCTGCGAAGAATCAAGACCTTTGACAGTTCATGACACCTGTATTAAAAATAACTAACAGCTTTTATGATGTTAAGATAGTCGCTCATAGCCAACTTGCTTTGGAAACACTGTCACCACCTATATTGGTCAAGTGCAGAAACATCTGTTCAGGGACATGTTTCACTAGCTTAATTAAAAATATCTGGACAAATTTTGCCTCAGGCCAATGCACATGTTTGGAACTGGAAGCAACCCCTGTTGATTGATAACAAATTAATGTTGCATACGTGGTTCAACATTGTTATGAAATATATCCTACAAATTTTGTATTGTTTGGACAACAGTTTCTGGTTTATAACCCCCTAGTGATCAATTTTAATCAAACTCTCAGGATATGTTTCAGGTACTTAGGTGGAAATCCTGCAAGTCTTGTGATGATTGGCCCAAGGGTTGTGGAATTGGGTCCTTTTGAAGTTCATTGGTCAATATCTTTAAATGAGATATCAACAAGCTTTTAAAAACTGTTCAGTGGTTCCCAACTGGATGGTCGCCATCCAAAAGTGGGTCACAGATCCATTCTGAATGGACCGCAAGTGACTCACAAATGTCTCAAGTTTGTAAAAAACACACTTTTTCTGGAAGTACAGTGAATTTCCGTCATAAACTTTTATTTTGAAGTCTCGTTTCCTGCTGTAGAGTGAGTAAATAATGGACAGCTACTTGACAGAGACAGTAACCTAGTTCGAGGACATGGCCAAAGGCAAATATGGGAAGGAGTCTTTCTTTGCCTCTGTAGGACCTGACTAGGAAGGACCCATTCTACCAAGGACGCGTTCCTTGACTTTGAGAAGCACTGATAGACCGTAACCTAGCTCGACAACATGGCCAATCGCAAGTATGACGCTGACTGTATTAAACTTTGTGGACCTTGAACTAATGACTGAGGAGAAATTTGGACCCTAGGGCTGGGAACCACTGATTTATAGGCTTCGTCCAGTAATGATCCACAGAAAAAGTGGTACATATATGCTAGATGTGTCGAAGGTAGCAGTCCTCAGTCAG